CAGCCCACGTAAGTGAGTTTCAACTTTCAACTTTCAAGGTGCAACAAGCCCAAGCAGGCCTGATCACTGGGTTTTGTCCGATCCAAGAAGGCCAGAAAGCATGGACCCAGAAACAATATTAACGACCCAACTTTTTATTTGCATATTGCATTTTTTTTTTTAGTCCATAATTTCTATAATTACATTTTTTTACAATTTAAAATTTATTAAAAAAAACTCTAAATTATTAACAAAATCAATTATTAATTTTTTTAGTTTTTTTACAAATTTTAAATGATAAAAAGGGTGATTATAAGTAAAAATTATTGAGGTTGTTGGGTGGAGGAAGGAAAAAATAACGTGGAGGTGCAAATACGGGTTTGGCCTTGTAAAAAAAGAGCGAGTCGAGCTGGCTGCTTCTGGATTCTGATTTCTTTCTCGTTGTTTCACGACACAGCTTTCTCTTCTGCAATTCAACTGAGACAGAAAATATCCCGCGAAATCATGAAAGTTGTTCGCCGAGACCTCATTCCCAACGGACCGGGAAGTGTCAAGGTAAGCAATTAGCAATCCCTACAAAACCAGAAAAAAAGATTCTTTTGTTTTTTTTGGTGTTCATCACGTAATTCTGTTTGAATTGGTGAAATCAGATGATTCCTGTAGATTCAGATGATCTTTGGTTTGTTTACAATTTAATTACTCCTGGAGATAGCGTTATGGCTCGAACCGTCAGGTACTTCCTATTTCTCTCTATTGATTTTTTTTTTTTATTGTTTGATAAAAATTGCTACTTTCTATGATTCAGCATAGGATCGTTTAGGGTTTTGGTGAGCTCCTGGAGTAGGATTTTTTTATTTAAAATTTTTTCAGTGTTGGTTGTTAATGCAGCTTATCGGCTATTACCTACTGTCTAGCATTGCAAAGTATTAGTGATTGTTGGTTGGGTTGCGGATTAGGGTGATCAGTTGTTTGTCTACTTAATGTTGTTTCAGGGAAAGTGATTTTTTTATTTTTTATTTTTTATTTTTTGTATTTGACAGTTATTCTATATGATGCTGTGGTGATACTTATAATTGTAGATTGTAATAATACTTCTATTGCAGAATCTGGTTTTTGAGTTTGATGTTTTTTATGATTGCATATCTTGTGATTATGTGGGTATTGTTTAATAGGAAAGTTGTAAGAGAGACATCAGGTGGAAGAGATGCAGAGCGTGTTGCACTCAAGTTGGAAATAAAAGTTGAGGTATGGCAAGTTTATCATGGCAAGAATGGTGAAAATCAGAGTGATGAGAGGAAAATGTTTCATGCCCTTGTTGCTTTAAAAAAAAAAAAAAATCTGGACTGTTTTTTATTTTTCCTAGAAAGAGAGAATTGGTGAAATAGATTCTTCTTGTACCAATGATTTAGATCAAATCTCAATTTGGAATGACTAATTGATTTGGGTGAACATATATTTTGTAGGAGATGCATATTCTTCAGGATCCATTGGCTTATATCTGTGCCTCTAGTTCAAACTTTCATACTGAACATAATAATGCATATTTAATCCTTAAAAGAGGAATTTCATGAAGGTGTTTCCAGATGTGAGGAGTGCAGATCAGTACTGACATTGTTTGATATTTTTTAGGCCGTAGATTATGACAAAGAAGGATCTGTCATGCGTATAAGGGGAAAGAATATCTTAGAGAACGAACATGTTAAGGTAGTTGTTGCATGAGATTGAGTTTGCTTATAAATTGATTATAAATTTCATGATCAAACTCATTGTTTTTGTGTTTGCAGATAGGAGCGTTTCATACTTTAGAACTGGAGCTGCAGCGACCTTTTGTGTTGAGAAAGGTAGAAGTCCTAGTAGCCAATATTCTGCAACAGTATAACTTATAATTATTTGTGATTCAATTATTTTATTCTTTCTCCTCACTTTAGGTCTTCTGGTTTTTTAATTAAAAGTTTACCTTTTTAAATTAAATTATTACTGACTTTTGGCTATCTGTTTCATATACCTAGGATATTTGGGACTCCATGGCACTGGATGTACTTCAACAGGCCTCTGGTATGCAGTCTGAATATTTCAATTCTCTCAACAGATCTTAACTTTAAAGCATGCAAAATTTGCTATCTTCGTGATAGTACATTTTGAAGTTTCTTGTGCATCATGTAAATTATATTATTGCATTTCAAAGCTTAGATTAAGGGTTTGATATTTCTCCTCTCCCCATGTCTTCTCTTCATCCTTGATGATTGTCTGCTCTGACTTTGTTAATTTTCTGATGTCTCTTTGCTTGAACATTGCTAATTTGCATCCTACAGAGGTTTTTTTTTTTCCTTTTTTCCCTCTTGTAGGCTACTAATAATTTTGATTTAGATGTTTGTTACTAAGGCTTTGCAGTTTAAATTTCAGATCCTGCTGCAAGTGCTGATCTGGCCGTGGTAATAATGCAAGAGGGATTAGCTCATATTTTGCTTGTTGGTAAAAGGTATGTCTCAGAAACTGGGGAGTAAGGATATGATTGTCCTTTTCTAGGCTGAATTGTTAAGCGATTGATATCAGTTTGTTGTTTAGAATTTACTCTGTACTGTTTAGTCAGCACCCAGCACCCAAAGAGTCTCTGATATGAGTTCAGAAAATCATTAATGTAGAGATAGCTTCTTTGGATTTCCAATGGTTATAGTAGATAAGAATGAAATAGTAATTATTATGCATGTCCAATTGAAATTTTATTGGATGGAAGAGCTAAGGAATATGAAGTTGAAATTTCATTGATGAATTAAAATTTTATTTAAACAGTGTAACTAGCACTCGTTCACGGATAGAAACTTCAATTCCTCGCAAGCATGGTCCTGCTATTGCTGGTTATGAGAAGGTATGCATTTTCTGTTTTATATTTTATATTTGGGAGTCCATTTCTGTTTTAAAAGCTATTGGTATCTGACTTGCCATAGATTTAGTGAGAACTTGTTAGGTTCTTGACCCTATTAATTTTGGTTATATTTGATTTTAATTTTAAATGTTCTACAGGCTTTGAACAAGTTCTTCGATAATGTTCTACAGGTTTGTTATTGTTATGTGTAGTGGCTCATATCTGTTGGATTTTCATCTAGTCTGTTACTTCTAATAGATTTAACTGATGTGTTATAGGCCTTTCTCAAGCATGTGGACTTTAATGTTGTTCGCTGTGCTGTTATTGCGAGTCCTGGTTTCACAAAGGTGTGGTTCAAAAATCTTGCAATATCACTGAACTTCTATTTTTTTTTTTTATTGTATTAGTAAAATGCCATCAGGTTTGATCTTTTTTTATTTTTTTATTTTTTATTTTCATCAGTTGTATAATAAGTTTGATTTTCTTCTAAAAGCAACATATTGAGTGAATGTACAACATTCTTCTTTTGATTGATTTGTCTCTGTTTTTTATTTTAATGTATTTCAGGATCAATTCCATCGCCACCTATTGTTGGAAGCAGAAAGAAGACAGCTGAGAACAATTATAGAGAACAAGTCACGAATAATTCTTGTGCATACAAGCTCTGGATATAAGTATGCTTTCTGTCTTTAGCTTCTGATTTTTGCAGTGGAATAATGAATGATACTGGATATGTTGATCACATTACTAACCCTCTGAAATGCCATGGATCTGTGGGGGCAGTGGATTATGGAGTTGACAATTCAAATAAATTGAAAAATATAGGACTAGAGTATTCTACTTTACAGTTTACACATTAATAAAATTAGAGCATAATCAATTATGGATAATTGGAAATCTCTAATTTCTTTTGCAGTATACAGGACAACTTGATGCACCTTGCGGCCAAAGACATAAAATTTTTATTGATGCTATTTTGTTTGAATCCTTTACTCAAACATGCTTCTAACTCTGATATGCAGGCATAGCTTAAAGGAAGTTCTGGATGCCCCAAATGTTATGAATATGATAAAAGATACCAAAGCAGCGCAAGAGGTAACGTGGAACAGTGAATATCATCATGACAAGCCTGCCTAAAGTTAGTTCTCCCTTGTGATAATGGCTTTTACCCTTCTTTTTCCCCCATTTTCCAGGTCCGAGCTCTTGAGGATTTCTTCAGCATGCTTTCTAATGTCAGGTTCTAATTTTGAGATGTATGATTTATTTTTTTCCCTAGTTTATATTTGCATAACTCTGTCAGATGCTAAACTGAAGGATCATTGTTAAGTAAATAGTGGGGCTGGATTGTTGTCAATGACGATGGTGTAGTTTGAACTTTAAATAATGGAAAAGAGATTTTGGGTTGATGTTAATTAAAATTTGCAGATGACAGTTAAAAAAAATGTTGCTAGAAGTTCTGAAATGTGCTCAATGATAATGGTCATTTGAGATACAGGGTAGAATATTTTCTTTACTGACTGCAATAGGGTTTTAGGGTGGAATACTGCATCAAGAAAATGAAATACTGGATGCTGTTCAGAAGAAGCCAACACCCATGAACTTAGTTTTTTCCCTTTTAGTATGAGATTGATTTTTATGATATCATGGTAAAGATTGAAGGGCCTTTAGGGAAGGAATCTGTGGTTAGGTCCTTATGGTTTAGAGAAAAATTATCCTTTCCCATTTTCATTAATGAAGGGAGACATTAATCAAGGTCGAAGGGTATTTGCAAAAGCCATTGTTCTAGTGGTTGGCTTTCTTGTGGTGACAAATTTCCATGATGCAGTATCTGTATTTTGCTTGAGTTAGGGATTTGGGATGTGCTTGCCTGATTAGCTGTTTCAGTGTTATCTTTCTTCATTATTTGTCGTCTTTGTTTTGCTAATATTTTCTTAATACTGTAACTGATTTAGTTTTGTTGTTATGTAGGATCCTGCTCGTGCATGCTATGGACCAAAACATGTTGAGATTGCCCATGAACGAATGGCTGTCCAAACACTTCTCATAACAGATGAGCTCTTCAGGTTTGTATTGCCAAAGTGGCCAATTTATTTGGGCAGCAATTCAGTTTAAACACGTAGTGCCTTGTAACAACATCTCTACGCATGTTTGTTCTGCCAATGTCATTTTGGATGGGGTGGCATTCTTATATTTTACTGGGCGACTGAATGTAAGTACACACTGGGTGCAGCAGAAAGTTTTTCAGTTGTCATAGGACATGTTACCCACCCTCCAAAAATGACTATGGGTTGACTGTGTTGGAAGTTCCTTGATCATAGACTGACGGCTTTGTTGTTTTTGATTTGGATTCCAGGAATGCTGACGTAGCTACAAGACAAAAATATGTAAATTTGGTCAAATCAGTTAAGGATTCAGGGGGCGCTGCTCATATATTTTCATCCATGCATGTGTCAGGAGAACGTGAGTACTTGTTTGCATTCTTTCCGGCTGTCATTTTGATTATTCTGTTCTTTTTAAATTTTTATTTGGTAGTTATAGGTTAAGAACGTTTAATTGGTGCAATTCCCACCTCTTTGTCATTCCCATTTTGCTAACGTTGATTCTGTGGTTGCAACTTCTCACTACGTTAATTGTCATTATTCCTAATTTAGTTTGTTAATTGCTTTGCATCGTATATGCAGAACTTGCACAATTGACTGGTATTGCTGCAATTCTTCGATTCCCCCTTCCAGACCTTGAAGACATTGAGATGTAAGGGACAAATCTGTTTGCACTTCTGGATTTATATACAATATAATTTGTAATCAATAGATCGTGGATGTCTCTACCAAACATAGATTTTCATTTTCCAGTCTTCTATTATTTCTTCATCTATTTATGGGATTGCTCAATACTGCACATAATAATGTATCTGCATGAAATTTCTTTGTACTTATTTATTCTTCCAAGCTGAATTAATATTTTCATTTTGTATACATTGTAATAATATTACAATGTTGTTTGACTTTTTCGCACCTAAGGTAATGCCTTTATATAGTATTAATCTTTTCATTTCAAAATGATTGTTCTTTTTTATTCTAATTTAATTTTTTTCAACAATAATATGTACTTTATAAAACGATTACCTAAATTAATAGTGCAACAAATGTTGTGAATGGTAGATGAGAATGTGAAAAGACCGAGGTTAGGGTATTTAGGATTCAAGCCTTAGGATGATGCAGATGCTGGCAATGCTTGCAAAACCACAGGAGGATCTCCCGTACTTGTTGCTCTGAGAATCTAGCAGTTAAATCTTCTAGGCAAAGACGAGAGATCTTCCCGTCCTTGCTAGAAGATCTAGCCTCCCATCCTTGCAGGAGATTTAGCTTGGGATTAATCAGCCATGAGGTTTGCGAGCAGCAGCATCAACCTAATCGAGGGAGGTGCCTCCCCAATCCCTTCCACTCACCTTTAATGCCCCCACATGGGTTACAAGGTTACGTTACCAATCTCGGAGGCCAAGGGTTACGGGGAAGGCATATAAAAGACATTTAGTCTGTGCTCTTTCCGACGTGGGAATAAAGGAACAGCTTCCAATGAATCGGTACTTCACTTGCGCTTTTTAAGTTGGATTGGACAACATTAAGAAAGTGGAGCATCCTTTTTTTAGCACAATAAGATCAGAGCTTCAAGAACGGAGGAAAACAAGAAATAAGAAGCTGCATTCCATAACTACTGTTGTTTTATTACTTCAGATGCAAACATTTTTTAGGAAATCTGAAGCAAAAGCATCAACCAGAACTACGAACCCATTTCATCAATCCACCTCTTCGCCATTCGCGGCAATTCTGTCCATTATGTTGGCAACAACATCCTTGGCTTCCTTGAGCATGTTGATACTGCTGGTTAGCTTCTTGCGCTTTACTGCAAGCGCTGGAGATTCCTCCAAAATTCTTTCAATTCCCCCACCGCGTGGACCCATTAACTCATTAACAATTTCTGTGTCCATGTCCTTGTCCACAAGGTTGTTGACACTGAATAGAAGATGCAGAGCCATGCAATCCACCAGCCTCCTCAGGACTACTTTCCAGTATGCAGTCATCCTCATTTTCAAGTCAATAGCTTGCTGCAAAACAAGTGCAAACATCCTAAGGTGAGCGACTTCAATCTCCCCAAAAATACCCAGTTGAACTCTTTCCTTCTTCTCGTCAAGCACCTCCTCGATGAAGTTATCCTGGAGAGCCATGAGGTTATTCCATTCAGTCATGTAGTCTGGATTGCACGTGTAATCCGCAAGTTTCTCCATCTCCACCATCTCCCTCACCTTACTGAGGGAAGTATCTTTCATCCTGGCAATCAGATTATGCGCTGCTCTCCTCAGAGATAACTGGAGCTGTGGATAGTTGTCTGAATGATACATCAAGATGGTTACCACCACTTCCTCCAGGTACTCCCATACATCTTCTATAAACCCAACTGGATTGCTCGATATACTTTTGACTTTGCCCTGCAATATAGTGAGGAAAGCAGTTCTAGGAAGGAAGTTGGGCAGCCCTATTCCCTTGGCTTCTTCCAAAACCCTTATTTCATCCATCAAGAAGTTCTTTGTTGAGTATTTCTCAGAACTCCTCTGAAGTTCATCTGAGAACTTGTTCAGCATCTCTGCTAATCTAGCAGTGCAGTGCATTTTTTCATCATCTGGATATTCTTCAAATTCTCCTCTAAGTAAGATTTTTCTCAAGGACTCCTTAGCATTTCCAATAATCCTCATGAAAGCTGTCAAAGCCTCTGCTGTTGAGGACATAGCTTTCGGCATTCTGTTCAGCTCTGTCACATTTGCATTCAGCTTCTCAGTTATCTTTCTTACAGTCTCCGGCAGGCATCTAGCTATGATTGTGGCTTGAATTTGAACCAGTTTGTGAGCTAGAATAGGAATCCCCACTATGGACTTATCAATCTTTGAGAGAAGAGGATGGTAATCAAACAACCTGAATTCCTCCTCTCGAGCTTCAGTGTAAGACTCATCACCAATACGATTCCTCACGCAGACATATCCGAGTCCTATGTTGACATCATCAGCAGTAACCTTCTCTAGCAACCCTTCAGGTGCTTTATCAGCCTTTGTAACCACAGCCAGCGTCCTATCCCCGGTCTTGTCTACTTGCCGCGACATCCTGATTGATTCGCATGTTGAAAAATCAACAGTTGCAGACAAAACATTCAGAATAATGCTTTCCTCTGGCTTTATGTACTCCATTATAATATCTCTGATCTGCTCATATATGTTTTCTGGTTGTCCATGAACAGGAACTCTAGTAATGCCCGGAAGATCAACCATTGTAAGATCCGGAACTCCATTCTTCTTCACCACCAGAGTCAGTGAAGCATTTGAGATACCTTTGCCCCTGCCTGCAATCTCCTCGGTAGCCACTTTAATAGCATCAGCAATGTGCTCCTCATCAGTTGGAACCACTTTCTCATTGTACTCCAAGAAAAGTTCTGGAGTGGAGGTAGAATTATTCTGCAGCCTCATTATAAGAGGCACCCTAGTGCAGATACCTTGTCCACGAGGAAGACTAATCCCTGCAAGTGACTCAAGAACACTGGATTTCCCAGAAGATTGATCCCCAACAACAACAATGGTTGGAAGCTGTATGCCTTCCTTCATGACCTGAAGGTGCCTGAGCCTGTCAACCACATCTAACAATGGTCGAATTCGATCATTGTATGATGACACAATTGGTGCAGTGGTTGCTTGTCTTTGAACAACAAGCGCGGACTCTTCATTTTCAGGGTTTGTGTATACAACTATTGCGTTTTTCTTGGGATTAGAAGACTTCTGAGTAACCATTTCTTGAAGACCGAAGAGTCAGGGACAATGGAAGAAGGTAGTGAAGTTGCGGAAGTCGGATGCTTAGAAAAGATGGGGGAGTGATGAATTTATAGAAATCATTAGATGAGATAGCAGTGAAGTGAAAGGTATAGAAAAGGATTCACTCACGTTTGGAAGTTGAAAGAGGAAACACGTAATCGAGGGACAGGTTAGATAAACAAAGCAGGGCACTGTAATTGGGGTCATATAGGACGATGTGAATTCTGCAGGGTTTTTAGGTGCTTTGAAATTGAACGTGATTTAATGCAGGGTGAGGCTGCAGTTTGCACCTTTTTCACTTCCCCATAGCCTTGAACTTTGATGTCGCAATTAACATTAATACTTTTATTTAAAGCCTGAGACTCATCCATTACCTATTTTCAAAAAAAAACCCTGAGACTCATCAATGAAAAATATAATAAATGTATTTTTTATTATAAATTTATATTAAAAATAAAAATTAATTTTTAATTTATCAATTATTTAATTAAATTTATTTACTTAATATTAATACTAAAGTTAATAATATTTTTTATATTTTTCTATATATATTTTTGACCAAAAAATATTTTTAACGAAAAACCCTTTATTTAAACGTCTAAGGAGATTTTTGCTGTGACGTGATGATTTGTTTTTCTTTGATATTTGTGGTTAATATGAAGTGATATCGGATATACAATGTTGCAGTTAAAGAATTTGCGAGCAGAACTTTCCTCATCCAAACTCTTAGATTTTATTTTTTTTATTTTTTTTAAACAGTTTACAATTTTGGGGTTTGAAAGAAAGAAATTTTTAAAATGTTAGTAGAATTCAAAACTCTGATTAAATAACCCAAATATCTTAAAGTTTGAAGATGAACTAATTAAACCTAAATGTTTAATTCTTAATATTTGTTTAATTTGTATTTTAAGATACAAAAAATGGTATAATAAATATAAATTTTAATATCAATTCATATAAAAAATTAATATTATAAAAGTTAATCTCTATTTTAACCAATAACATATAAATAATTTTAATTAATTAATTAAATTAAAATTAATATTTATACTTTTTAATATGAATTAGGTGAAAACCTCGTTTAACGTGTTTTTTTAAGTGCATAAATTAAAAATATAGTAAGTATATTTTTTATAATTAATTCATATAAAAAATTATAAAAATTGACATATGTTTAACATCACTAATACGTAAATTATTGTAATTAATTAATTAATATTTATATTTATATCTTTAATAAAAATTAATTATAAAAAAATATACTCCTTATATTCTTCGTTGCAGATGATGCAAAAACCCTTAATTGAAAAAGATTGCATTATTTTAAAAAACCGTACTTTTTAAGTAACCAACCTCCTGAGCTTCTCCAAGTAGCCTAGTAGTGTTCCCCTCCTTCGGTATTTGTTTTATTTTGATCTTTTAGGTTTCTTTCCTTTTCTTTTTTTTTTTAATCAAAGCAGCAATTAACATTTTTTCTTTTTTATAATGCAGCATAATATGATTATTATTAGGATTAATGAATCTACTTTTTTAAATTTTATTCTTTTCCGAATTATATATTCTTAATTATTGTTGAATGAATGTATAAAAAAATAAGTATAAAAATAGTATATATTAGTTGAAATCTCAATTTAAAATTATCATTTTATAATAAATATTTTGAAAAAATTAATATTTTATTAGAGATTGTTATGTCTTATTTTCAAAAAAAATATTATTAAATACTTTTCTTTTGTTATTTATTTGCCCTTATTTGACTTTATTGTTTAGGAAAGAATTTTCCATAACTAAAAATTTTCAGTAAAGCAAAAAGAGAGAGAATTTTTAGAATTTTGTCATGAGATTGGTGTTTATGATTCCAAAACGATTTTAATAAATTAAGACAGAAAAATAATTCATTGAGAATGCTTTATTACTTTTATAGTTTAAATTTTGTCTATATATATATATTTAGTTTAAACTACATTTTTGTAAAGTTTAGAATGTAAGATACACTATTTTAGGAAACAATTTATAGGTTTTTTTTAAAAAAAATTTTCTATTTATTAACTTATACTCATTTGTGTTCATTTTTAATAATATTTGTTTAATTTTTTAAATTTTAAAATAAAAATTTAATATACTATATTAATAACAATTAAAATTTTTTTATTAAATAAAAAAATTTATAAAAAATTTATATAAAAAATCTTTTTAATAATTATTTATATAAATCATTAAATTTTTATTTAAAATTAGTCTAGTACTAAAATTGAACGAAATAAGCAGAAGAGTACTCGCCAGGACAATAAGTTGTTGTATATGTTGATGGTGTGTCAGTGTCGTACTGTCTTCAACTTCAACCAACCCACAATCCAATCTCTCTTAGGGGTTGCCGACTCCTACGGTGTCGTCCCGCCATACCCAAATCGCCGATGACTCCATTTCCTTCCAGCTCTAACTATAGGGACTCTACCGACCCCGTCCCACCGGTTTTGCTTCAGCTTCTTGAGTCGCAAACTGAGAATCACAACAGGATTTGGTTGGGAGGAGGACAGGAATTTGTGGTGGAAGTTCATACCCAAGGGAGTGGGATAATGCTAGGTTTAGGCAGATTGCAGATAAGTGTGTTGCTGTGCTTGTATGTGTTATGGCTCAGATAAGTGGACTGATTGCTGCCAAGGTATGGAATCTTCGATTTCTTTTGTTATGGAACTCATTATATAGTTTCTCGTTTCATGTTTGTTTATGTTTGGTAATTAATGATATCTGCTATCAGGGTCCATGATGAGTGATGAAAAAAATTCAACTTTAGTTCTGTTGGCTGTGTTTGAAAGATACCAAGTGCCTTGATAAGTTATGTTCCTAAAGGGTCATGTTTCATCACTTTATCTTTTCAATTTTTTTTATTATTTTATGGATTTCCCACATAATTTTTGTCTTTAGTTCACTAATGAAAACATGTGCTCTTTGCTGCTGTGCTTTGTGTCTCTATCAGACCAGGAAATAGTGGTTGATAGGCATGGTGTAATGATCGTGTAATTGAAGATTTGGAATATAATCTTGGTATCAGTCAGTAATAGGATGGCTATGGCTTGGGGTTGTTAGGATTTATCTAATAGTATAAAAAGTAAAAAACTGGATTTTCTGTTGTTTATAGCTAGGTTCTGCACTTCATTCTCAAGGATGGTTGGAATAAATGATTTTCCTCTTTTGTGAGATTTAGCAGTTGGTTGTTAAATTGTGGGAGTTAGACAATATATTGTAAAAATTATTAAAGATGGAATCCGATGCACCTAAATTCTATAAATTATTAGACAACATGAATGTCACAAATCAAGTCACAAGATGCACAACCCATCCTCAGAAACTTAAATAGGAGGTTGGCAGGGCTGATTGTTGTTTTTAAATGTCTGCTGTAGTTGTCGTCTTTGTTATAACAGTATTACCATAAAGTTCCCTTATAATGTGATCTTTTGATTTTCTTGTAGGAATGTGCCAACCTTGACTGCTGTGACATTGTAAACTCAACAACTCACAAAAGTCGCCAAGGTCCTAGGGGAGGAATAATTTTCTATAGAAGGGGTACAATGCGGAAGAAGGGAGGGATGCTTTCAAATCAAGGAGATGACAGTGATCTATATGATTTTGAGGAACAGATAAATTTTGCTGTTTTTCCTTTGTTACAAGGCAGACCACACAATAACCACATTGCTGCTCTTGCCATAGCATTAAAGCAAGTGACTACACTGGAATACAAGGCATACATGCATCAGGTGAAGAAAAATGTCCAGCCTTTAGCATCTGCATTGTTAAGAAAAAAATGTAGGGTAGTCATTGGAATCTAAGGCCCCTTGGTTTGACAGGTATACTCATTGTTGTCAAGTTATGAACTGTAATTTTGCTTTCACCCTCCATTAATTAGGACTTGATCCCCACATCACAAGAAAAAAGGGGTTTGACCAAAGAGTTGTTTGTCTTCCGCTGTTGTTGGTTTTTGACTTCCTTGATTTGGTATTTTTTGTGGCTTTCTATTCTGAGTCTTCTAATAGATTGGTTCCCGCAAGATGATTTTGATAGTTTTCAAAAGAAATAATGGAATTGGTACATCTGAATTCTGAAATAACGTGAATGAAGAGTCTTTTTAAAAAAAAATTATTCCCTCTTATTGATTCTTCTCTGTTCTCATTAACAAATGCATAATTTCCTGGGTTTTCAAATTTTCTACACATGTTACTCTTTTCCTGCAATACATTTTTTTTTTCTTTTTGTTTGTAACATGATCTGTTTGTACTTTGCACTACCTTTAGTTTTATCTTCTTTAACTCTATTCAATATTTTTATTGCTGCTTTTATGCCATCCAATCTTCTTCTTCTTCTTTTTTTTTCTATATTTTTGAAGGTAAATATGTACGAAGGTCTGCAAGATGTGTCATATTACTTTGAATAAAATTACTATATATGGTGAAAATGGCACCATTCCTCCCAGATTACAAATTGGTAAGCACAATTCCCATTTAAATACAAAATTGCAAACACAATTCCCTTAGAAGATGATTTGGGCTGTTATGACTATTTGAATTACCACAGATACTCCTGCAGTGACATCACGAGATTGCCTGGAGTATGATTTTGAAACGGTTGCTGACTTTCTCCTCAGAGCTGCACATATTACAACCATAGTGCTGCGGGAGCATGGAAAATCACACTTGAAAGTTTTCCTGAACAGTAAGGATATCTGGAGCTCGGAAGCCAAGTTGAAACCTTTGCGTCTCAGTTTATAATGACAATGTTTTTCCTGCAATCCACAGACATGCCTATGAAAATAAGGTAGCAACAATTTTGGAATTTAAAGCACAGTATTTGCAAAATAATCTCTATTTTGTTGTAAAAATTGAAACCCTGAATTCTTTTCAGTATTGCTTGGTACCGTGTACCAACTGCTAAATCAATGATAGGTTGATCTATTGTATACCTCTCAAATACTAATATTCATAAAAGAGAACAGTGCATCTGTTTGTCCTCTTTCGTTGATATATTAGTAGGAAACAGAAAGTTGAGTATTTTATTATTTATAGACATGGAAAATTTGGGTCACTTATTTGTCTCTGTTTCCACCCCATGTAAACTGTTTACTTGAAGATTAAAGCTGCAGCATATTGAGCTAATATTCAAGATGAGCCATAATCTAAGTGCCGTTCTAAAGGTGTTGGTGCAGGATGCATATTAATGTTCATGTACCTTCTTTTCCAGAAAATATTCAAAACTCTAATCAATTGTAACTGTACTTATTCACATGATAGCACAGCTGGCCCTCTGCCTATGAACAATTATGGCACAGAATTAGGTATCATTAGGTTTTGGTTCAGTGCTAAAATTTTTTTTTTTTAAATATATATATCAAGATTTTGTATCTACCAATTTCAAAATTTATCTTCATCTTCATTTCTCCCTCTTGGTGTCATGGTTTCTGATTGGACCCTTAAAATGGAATGGTGGGTTTCTTTAGTAATAGTTTGTTTTGGATGTAGGAATGTTGCTTCTTGAGGAAGAGAAAAGAATCTACTTAGTGAACTGTACAAAACATTGATTACTCCCTCTACACAAAACCCCATCTTCTATTTCTCATTTAAATAAATTGCTCGACTTTAAAAACCATATCTAGTGTATAGGAATCCAGAACCCTAGACCCCCAAAAGGCTCAATTGACAATCTAGAAGATGAAACAATGTGCTGCAAGTTGGGGGAAAGGTAAAGAAAGAAAAAGGGGGGGCATTAGGGCACTCAATTCAAAAGAGAAAGAAAAGAACCAAATCAAAATGGAAGAATGGGAAGCAGAATCTCAGTCAAAGTAGTCAAACTTTTAAACACCAAAAAAGAACATAATCTAAACTATATCATAGAATAAAGAAATAAGAATTGTTTTCATACACTTTAATCCTCGTTCATGTACAAGAAACACAATACCACTGTCACCTCTTTTGAGAAGAGTGTAAAAGAAAGAAGCCAAAACTATATAAAGATAACTCATCAACTTCTCATGTTTTCTCTCACTTTCTCCCTGCTTTTGTTTTGATTTTTCTTGGTATAGAAATGAAGGATACAGATTCTCAATCATCATCTCCACGCTGTAGGAAACACCCATAATTGCACCCAACAATCTTTTTTCGCCATGGAAACCTGAGCTGTTAGGCCTAGTTCTTTTCTCTCTTCTTCTCTTTCCCTTTTTTCTTCTTCCCCTGTTCCAGTATAAATACCCATCAATCTCCATCAACTTTTTCCTCCCAAGCTAACAACCCATCTTCTCTTTTTCTCTCCTTCCATCCATCATGGATCCCTCATGCACTACTGCTACCTCTGTCAATGGCTTCTACAGCTTGCTCAACCGAGGGCTTGAAGATCTTGATTGCTCCTTCATTTCCCATAACTTCATGTCAATCCAATTCCTTCAAAAGTTCCTCTCTTTTCTCAGATCTTTTCATTCCCACTTGACTCTTTTGGTTCAAAAGCTTCACCTTCCAGTTGGGGAAAAATGGCTTGATGAATACATGGATGAAAGCTCTAGGCTTTGGGAAGCCTGTCATGTGCTCAAATCAGGCATCTCTGGGATGGAAGGTTATTATACTTTGGGTGGGAATATAGCATCCTCTCTTGATCATCATCACCATTTTAACCCTCAATATTATAGACAGGTCAGTACCAAAATCTAAATTAAATTCTTAAAAACTTTTCAAAACCAAAAAAGAATTTTCTTGTTTTTCTTCGTTTCTGCCATTGGTATTGTTGAAATGATCGATTCTTGGTGTAGGTTATAAGGGCAATCTCTGCTTGCCAGAGAGAAATTGTGGGTTTGGAAGAGGAGAACAAGAATTTGGTGGAAACAAGAGGACAGCAACTATCTCTCAAATTTGATGAGAATGTCATGGTGGAATCAAAGCTAAACGGGTTTAATGGATTTAGAGGTGTTCTTTATGCAATGAGGAACGTTACCTCCTTGCTTCTGATGATCCTGCTCACTGGATTGGTATATTATTGCCCTGAAATGAGTTTTCTCCATAGAGAGCTTGAAGGGAGACATATGAGATTTGGGTCAGGATTCATGGTTTGGATAGCAAGATTGCATCAAAGAGTGGGGAATGAAGTGAACCGAATTGGTGGGCAGCCAGGGATTATACTGTATGAGTTCATAGAAGCCAGAGCTGCCATGGAAGAACTGAAAGTGGAGCTTGAGAGAGTTGTGGAGTATGAATCAGAAGTTGAGATTCAAGAAAAAGTGGACAACATCAAGAGCTCCTTCGGGTTATTGAGATGTGGGGTGGAGACTATAATTGGACAGATTGATGATTTCTTTGATGAAATAGTTGAAGGAAGGAAAAAGCTTCTGGACATGTGCAGTCATAGGTAGAGTGAGAGAAAGAAAGATTGGACATGTGGAGCTATAGTTAGAGAAAATGAAATGAATTAAAATGGCAAAAAAAGAGTGAAAAGATGTGAAGCTGAAAGGATTTAGAATTCCTTTTTAAAGTGGCATCATATCAACTTAGTTTCATCCTTTACCTTCAGTTTGTATGTTAACTTGTTTTTAATGTTCTTCAGCTTCTTGTTCCTCTGAAAGCTGTAGCTCAGTAGCTGCATTAATGGTGTTAACTCAAGGAAACCCAGAAAGGGAAATTCTTGAGGGGAAAAGGAATGTGATTCCTCCATTGAAGAAAAGCAATGTTGCCATGTAAAGATGAGAAACGAGGAGAATATAGAAGAGAGACATTAGCTTCAAAGGAAAGCAAGATTTTTCAATCCAAAGGGCAGATTCTTCTCCCTGTAGAGAAAAAAGAAAACGATGCTTCTTTCTTTGAGCCTTTTCTTCTGTCTCAAATTAGAATCAGATCTTGTATTCATTATGCAGACATTTCTTTTTCTGCATATCATGATATGAATTGCAGGGTAATTATTGATACTGCTGTATTTTGCAGCTTGAATACACAGCCAGCTAGTATTGCTTTATATAAAGAAATGATTTGTACCAGTAAAGAAATGATTTCAAGTTTCAGAATTCAAACCATACATACAATACAAATTGGCAAATTGCAGGGTATGGGGATAACTTGCCCCCTTCCAGGACAAAAAAATAAATCAAAATTTTGGGAGAGCTTATGACTAATTCTTTGGAAGCTTTTTAATCTTAGTATAGATCATTTGTCTTCAATAGGATGGGGAACGTTTGCTTGGTATACTGTAGACAAACTGATTTGAAATAATACCTACTTATTATATAGATTAAAAACGTAAAATTTAATAATCGTCTTATAAGTTTTTTTCAATTCACATTGAAATATCAATTCATACAATTATAATCCCACATTTTGTAAAGTATATAGCAATCATATTTAAGAGTTCTACTTTCACATTTAAATCGATTTTATTTTTTTTAGTTCAAACTAAACAAACCTAGGCTTATTCATACAAATCTTATAGTCATCTTATAAAAGGAAAATTTTCTTTCAATTCACACTGAAATATCAATTTATACAATTACAATCCTACATCTTGTAAGAATGTGACAATCATATTTAAGAGTTCTACATTCACATTTAAGTTGACTTCAATTTTTTTGGTTTCCAACCAAAAAAATCTAGATCTGTTCATGCAAATCTCACTGGAAAAAAAAGAAACATTTCAATTAAGAAGAATGGTCTTGTTAACCAAAAAAAAGTTAGAAGAATGATCTTTACCTAATAAAAAGTGATTTTGTGCTACCCGCCCACAAGACAACAAAAAAAATCAAATGACTCAATTTCAATAAAAGTGGGGCTTTGCTTATTTGTGGGTCAGGCTTCCAAATCACCATCAAAGTCTTTCACTTCACCTTTTGCTCAAGTTGAGATTTTGTCAATGCATATAGAAATAAAAGAAAATAAACAAAATTTTAAAATGAATGGTTTAGAATGAGTCTTAATGATCCATTCTCGTAAACATGAGCTTAAAATTTTTTTAAAAAAATTCTATAAAACTAGAATCATGAAGAGAAAAAGAGAGAGCAATCTTAGCATGACATGTGCAAAAGTAATCTTCTTTATTTTGATCATAAATCACTCGTTCTCATTTAGGTCATAAGTCACTCGTATCAAAAGTTTAAGTTTACATTTTTTATAATAACAATAATAATTAGCATGTTAGACTAAATTTAAATTCAAACTCTTAATAATAATAATAGTAATAATTGTATTAGACCTAATTACACTTCTTACACTCACAAAATATCCTAACACGGAATTAGATCTAGTATATGTCATCATTTGTCATTATTTAGACCAATATGTGTAAATGAGTGGTTTAGAACGAATCTAATCATCCATTCCAGTAAACATAAGCTTAAAATTTTGAGAAAAAATTTTCTATAAAATTAGAATTTTGGGGAGAGAGAGGGCAATCTTAGTATGTGCTCACCCATGTAAAGGATGATCTTCTTAGTTTGGTCATAAGTCATTCATATCAAAAATTTAAGTTCAAATTCTTAATAATAATAATAAGTATATTAGACCAAACTTAAGTTTAAATTCTTAATAATAATAATTAGTGCATTAGATCTAATTACACTTATTGCACTCACAAAATATCTTGACATGGGATTAGATCTAGCATATGTCATCATTTACACCAATATATCACCTACCTTAAAATATTTTATTTTATTGAAAAAAGAAAAAAAAATGAAGCTTAATATTCAAGAAAAAATTGGAATATTAAAATGAAAATAGCGAGACGCACAAATTGTGTTAGCGGTATACATGTGTTAAGTCATATAAAAAAATATGTACGGAGAAATAATGTAAAAATATAGCATGCAAAAGCTTATAAATTTAATAAATTAATTTTTAAAATTTAATATAGAGCATTTAAATATATGTATTAAGTTTTATTGGTGAGTTATTACTGAGTTAATCTCCTAAACCAATAAAGTTTCGTAGAGAAGTTATGGTGGGAAAAGAAGTTTCCCCCACGGGCCACAGCATTCTTTTTTGGTGATCTTCGTGAAGAAAAATGGTGTCCTCATAGATCTGGAAATGCTTTTTTTGTGATTTCCTTAGAGATTCTCCTTTGCAGTTGCGATAGTAATATCATTCATCATTTCGGTTGTGAAACAATGATGGAAAGGTGGGTGAAAGGACAGCCAGAGACAGATTCCTAAGTGTGTTTTCTTTTCTTTTTCTAAAAAAATACACACTATTTTCAAAAAGCACTTCCCTCCCAGTTTTCTAACTCCCGGCTGCTTTTGTCCCAGTCCTGTTTCCTTCGAGTAAAAAGCATCTGGCCCTGGTCGCTGCTGTTAATTACTTTGATTGCTCTCCTAAGGTCCTGTCCCTATTCATTATATTTTGTTTGTGAAAAGTGATATGCAGTTTATATTTTATAGACAGTATATTTTATATTTATTGCTAAAGGGTGAATTTTTTTATATTAAAATAGGCTTTTTCTTTTTTTATCAATGTTATAAAATATGCAAACTACAAAACAACAACTTAAAATTGTCTTGAATTCTTGAGTTTTGAATGCATATGGGTTAGATTTTGGTGTTAGTAAAAGGAGAATAGATTCCCTGGGTTTCATGGCCTAGTTAATTTATATAATGATTTATTTTTAATAACACATAGCGACAAAAGATTGAATGAATTAAACCCACAACATATAGATGAAGACATTATTACCAAAGATAATAACATGGATAACTTTATTACCAAAGTATTTGAAGACATTTGTTTTAAAAGTTAAAAGAACGGTTATCAACTATTGATCTTAATTGTATAGTTTAAATATTTTAAATTATAAATAACAATTATTATCAATTTTGAATATTGACTATCAACGTTCATATGTGTAAAAAAAGACCTAATCCAACATCCCCTATCCCTGATGGTAGACAATTTGCTTTTAATCACACCAATATCATGCCAAGAAAATTACAGAATTGTGTAACGCAAATACGGGCAAATGTGTTTGGTCACAAATAACAGTATCCATATATTGGCCACGGTCAACTTTTTGTCCCATAAACTCTTTCTTCTTGTTGTGTCCAATCGAGTTATGGGATTCAAAATTCATAATACTAAAGAGGATGTGCCTCATGTACAGATCTTTTGATTGGAGATAGAAGGAGATTGAGATCGATACCAATCTGATCTTGAAATGACAACACTTTTGATTGCTTCGATCTCACTTGGCCTATTCCTAATGGAAGGAGCTGCATCTCGTATGATTTTTAATTGAAGAATTGGCACTTAACACCCAATACAAGAGAGAAGCGTTTCATTTCACCTCACATGGAAACCTACTTTCATCCATCAAGTAACTAATAATGCTAAGTATCAATGATTGAAAAAGTAAAAAAATACCTTCAAATAAAAAAAAAAA